GCCTGTGCGGCGCACTCCATCAACACCCGCCATTTCTCATCCACACGCGGCTGTCCTTGGTGCTGATTCTACGGTGCCTGTTACTAGATCCGCGAGAGCTGCCAGAATTTGATATTAGCACGTAAGATTCTCGGCGTGATCTTTTATCCATCATACTTTCTTCTCCTTCCTTTGATGGATAACTCTAATTTGTAGGCCACTTCCTCCGGGTTACACGATGTCTCATGTATCCAATTTAAGTTCAAAGAATGCCGGTAAGTAAGTTGCGTGGGGAAGAACGCCAAAGGGCTAGGGGAAATTTATCAAATATATGTTCTTATTATCGTCAGTAATTTAGATTTTGCTTCGGGACTTAAACGCCCACGCCGCTTGGCATCAATTTCACGATGGCGCGGACATCAAAGAAACAACTGTGGCAAAGGATGACTTCAAAGCGTGGAGAAGTAAAGGGGTGAAAATCATCAGAAGAGACGAGGGCGTTCAACTTATCGGGATGCAAATCAGATCATTTTTTTCATCGCTTTTATGAATATGATTCTCCACACGAATGGAAACTAAAGATATTTTCAAAAGAATAGGCATTTTGATTGAAGGCTACATCACAAGACGCTAATCAGTCAGTTTTCCGCTACTCTCAAACATCTAACATCAAAGACAAACACATTGAAAAACATGTTGTATAACGTTATATGCATACGAATATATTTAACAGGCGGAAACGTACTCAAGACTGCGTGCCACTCAGACTCAAAATGTAGCCCCTAAAGGCATAACGTACCATACGAAATACACGAATTTAAGGGATTTAAAATGGTATATAGCTTGTTATTGTAGTCTGAAATATCACTGATTTGTGTTCAGTGTTTTGAGCCCTGCCTTTAACTGCACGTCTTTTACTGGCTTGAAAAGGTCATTCACCCAAGAGAGCGCGATCTTGGTTTTATTAGTAAATGTCAGACGGTAGATTTGATACGTCGGCGTCTCGGCTGTAATGTCTGGGCTTACATTCCGAGGGCAATTTGATTTGGATCAGTCACGACGTTACAAAGTCGGGCGAAAATTGAGTCAGCAATCCCTGGAATCATTTTTAACCTTTGGTGGTGTTGAATTCTAACGCGGCACGTGCCAGGTGGACGATTTGTCTCCGGATTCTGACAAAAACTTTGATCTTCATGTGGGCGACAGAGTGAGTCGCTGGAATGAATTCTTCCAAGAATATTGTAATAAGTTTTCCAGGAAGACGTCGGTGTGTTTACAAACCAAAAAAACGCGGAAACGGGGAGCGGCTCTTGGGGAGCTGACTAAAGCTAACAAGGCTGAAAACCAGGCTAGAATATCCCGTCGCTGAAGCAAATTCTTCCAGGAATAGATTCTCGTTCCGGGAAGTCATTCATCTAACGTAAGTGAGGCGTGCGGTACAGGAAATTAGATTTTGCGTTTGGCATGGTTTTGTATTACGGGAGAGAATCGACTGGCCTGTCACAATATCCGTGTCAAGGATTGCTCGATCTAGCAATGAAAATGGATCAATGATCATGTTGCAAGGGAACTATCGTATATGAAGGCGTTTTGGAAGCTGACCAACTCATAAAACCTCTTTGTCATAGGGTTTTTTTAATATAATAGCTTCTTGACTTTCCAAAATGATTTAAAGGGAGGAAGAAACGACCTTGCCAAAAAGATGTTGTGCCAAAAAAACAAGAAGAGGAAAAACAAGGCAAGATACTTTCGGTCAGCCAATCGCGCACGTTTATCCAAATAAGGAGATGTCCAAATTGCATGTGACGTACCGTTACGTAGTTAGTGGTATCCATGGATCATTAAGAACCAATATTTGCCGATGTAGGATTCATTCAACCCAGGCTTGTCTCGTTATGACTAATGACTGGATACGATTCGTGGTCATTATCTCCGGGAAAGAGGTTTAATAAATGAGTGTTCTTCGTGAGACGAGAATTTACTCAGTAATTTGTCGGAGTGAATGTCTAAGAGCCAGCAGGATGTGGTTATGTCAGAAAACAGTACGCAACTGTCACGAAACGGATGGCAAAACCAAAGCACAGAATCCGAGCCCACTACAAGCCCTAACAATGTTCCCTGTCCATGGTGCTGAAAATGTCTTCCATTACCCTTACGATGGCAACCGGCTCGGAGTGACTGCATACAGAAGACTCTATTATGTCTCCTTTCGTTAAACATACGCAACACAGCATGTACTATATATGGCGACCGTCTATGGATGTCAACAAGAGCAAGCATTAAGATTTGTCTTGTCGCCTTCCACACTCTTTGTTACAGCGTCTTGTGTAATCTTGGGAACGAATATCCCGTAATGACTTTATTCATGAGCATCTAAAATCATACTGCAGAGCACAAATGCCCTGAATTACTTGGTGATTGGATACGAATGCCCATTGTTGAATATATATATATATATACATGTACAACATAACATAGCATAGCAACAGCGGGGCGATCAGGTTAACATTTGACAGCCTGTAACAGAAATGAATTTTTGCTCTGGGGTGGCTGATTTCTTTGTGGTTGCCTAGCTGTATACTTGTAACCAACCCCCCCCCCCCAAGCATCCGTCTATGTATTGTAAGCTGATGTGTATTGTACATATATTGCAATTTTTAATTACTAGTATGTAAATGTTAATGCTTTTAATCTACGTACCTGTAAAATGTCAACGCGATTCAGTCGTACGTATCTGATGAAATTCGGCGCGTCTGCAATGTTGATTTTAATAGGTAAAGATTTGATTTGATCCGTGCGTTTTAGAACTGCCCTATCCTTACTGCCGCTCCAGCGACAGCAACATAATTACTGTTCTGGTATAATAAAGAATGGGTCTCTACCCCGTGCGCACAGGCCCGCAGTTCCAGCGGTAATAACCCGGCCGTGGATCGATCCTCCCCGCCGTAATTGTGACCATTACGGCGGAGACAGATGCGCTGTCTGTCACCGGGGCCGCCGACCTTACAGCTGACATTCACTTTCAAACCGACCAAAGCTACCAGCTTTTTTTTTCAATTTCAATTTCAATTTTCAATTTTATTAAGAATAGTCAACATAGCAGGGGTACATAGTACTCCTGAATTGTGTGGACTTTACATGTTATTAAGTATAAGAAACGCACAAGACATTTACATACAAGAGTGGGACATAAGACAACAGAACACTAGGTCTGCATTTGGCTATTGTACAGTCTGATTGTGCAGTGGAGGAACGAGTTATGCAGTCTGTTTGTCCGTGTGATTCCCCCAGAGTTCCTCAAACACCTCCCTGTGCTGTCCGACCTGGCTCCCGGTACCAAATCATGTAGTGGGTTTTCTTTTTCACGTGAGTGTCAGAAAATGAGGAGGAACCAATACGTCAGGACTTACAAGAAGGTGGTCATCTTTGGTCAGATCTCTTTGGGATGCAATTGTGATGATGGAAGTGGAAGTACTTGTATCTAATGAGTCGCTGTATAGTAGAGACATTGGGGTGAAGTTTTCGCCGGTAGCGTGCGGGGAGCTCTCATTGTATAAATCAAACCGAATGAGCAATTTATCAGACCATGTACATGTACTTGGAACGCACACAAGGTGTGATCTGAAAGAGCTCGAGAAAAAAGAAGATAAATGCGTAACTTCAAACAAGAATAAAGATCTATTCAAGCTTTCAACAATTCATACAATAAGAATAAACTAGCCACTCGTGTCAAGATGTTTCCATGCATATGAACATTTCATACACTGCTTCATAGATTTTTATAACAATGCACAGGGGCCAGAAATATCTCATCGCACCCGTGTGACCTTTCCAGAGCCTGATAGATTCTGAGCGCAGCGTTCTCTTTGAACTACCTGCCTGTTCAGACAGCTCCATGAATCTTTGATGTGAGGCCCAATTAGTTCTCCAGGCGCGATCTATCAATACATAACACGCTCCTCGGAGCTATGTCGTGCGCAAGTACTCTCCGAGCAGGGGTTTGGGTTATTTCTGGCGTGTTTTTAGGCTTTTTCATCGGGGTTTCTTTTTGCACTGGAATTTTTTAGGGGGGCTGGCGTTGGGTGACCAGTGCAAAGAAGAAACCCCGCGTTAAAAAGGCCTAAAACACGCCAAAGATAACCTAAACCGCTGCTGTGACTGAGAGTAAATCGCAAGGCTCGTTCATGTACGTCTGAAATAGAAAGACGAAATTTATGCGTCAGGGATTAATTCCTAAGGATTAAGATCAACCGACCGACGGATTGATTCGACGCTCGCTCATACGATTCCTAAAATAGCTTCAAGCAATCTGGATCTTTTAACCGTGTTATTCAGATGAAAATGAATAGAAATGATTTCCGTGCGGTAGTCACTAAAGAAGCAAATTTAAAATCATCAAACAGCATTTTGTACGTTAATTGTTTCAAAGATAAACTTCGTTATTCGGATCAAAAATGCATACAAATGATTTCCGTGTGGAAGTTAGTAAAGAAGCAAATTTAGAATCATCAAACAGCATTTTGTATGTATACGTTGTTTCCACTTTCGAAATTCGTTATTATTATCAAACATGGCCGGTTACAATAATTACACGCGCCTTTCAATCCTCAAGAGATTGACGTTCCCTTTGGGATCAGACCATGACAAGACGAGCTAGTTAGGCTTTACACGTGACCTTACGCCATACAGCTAGCGGGGTTTGCCCTTTTGTCCCTAGTGAACTGTGTTCTGATTAGGTCATTTCATCAGGAAGGCGAATTTCAAATATACGTTATTGAACGTAATGAAAACCAATACACATTCCACGAAAATCATCCTTGGAAATTTAGTTCTATTAATTCTACTTCTACCGGCGTAGTACCGCCATATAATCGCTTTGGACGCCTTTTAAGTTGTTTACATCGCATGGTGATAGACAGATTTGCCAACCTCTTTGTCCTTATTCTTCTAAAACACTTCTTTAAGGTTTAAAGTACAAATATAGTAATTAAAGTAAAGCTAAGACAAACTCGACAAGGGTATTCCGTAAAAGCATTTATTGGTTGTTGTGTAGTGGAGTGCGTTCTTCATCCACTTGAGCATGCACCAGCAGCGCCTCCTGGCGAGACATTAGCGAGTTACAGAACAGGAAAACATAAATATTCCATGGTAGCTGTAGTATTATCAATATTATTATTCTTGTGGTGTGAATACAAATTATGATACCTTCTACACAACTGTGAATTTCTAGGACTAGACCTCACACCGAAGGTAACATGTTCTGGACATAAATTAGTGGTACGAAGGAGGTTTTAAACCTTACATGGTGCAATGGAAAGATATTAAAGTCACTATCACTTGGCATTTTCATCTGCCATTTAGCTGATGACAACATTTGTACATTCATATACAACATGTAATATTGACTTGGTGCATTTGGAAATAAAAATTATAAAAACTGACTGTCACTTCACCCTCCACCATCCACCCGACCCTTCTTTTTCCCCGTTTGTAAAATTCAACTCTAGATAAAATACAAATAAGTCTACAATTTTGCCACTGCAAATACAGCAAGGGCTCCTGAAAACAGCAAATAGCTACCTAAAAAACAAAACAACAAAAAATGGGAACAAAAAAGGTTTTAAAAATACAAAGGGATTTTCAGTATGCATATAATTACATAAAAATGGATTTTGCAAGTTTTTCCACATCCTACTGTTATTATACACAATTGTTTCTGGACGAAGGCAACACATCATAACATCCATGGGTAGTGTTGGGCATGTCTATGTATTGCTGTAGAGGGTACATCTACAATCATTTGCCAAACTACCAGACATCGAAACCCCTACTTGTCCTAGTGTTACTCATTTGAAGAATATCACATAAGCTAGATATTTTCGGTATATGCCATCGCAGTGCTGTGTATATGTAGGAAATGATTCTAGAATTGCTTTGAGTCATGGCTAGGCTTTAGCTAGTGTGAAGACTACTGTATACACAGTGGATATACTCAAATGGAGACAGGATAGTCTGACTGTTCTTAAGTCGATCATCAGTGAAGAACTTCTAATAAAAAAGTATGGACAATAGTAGGGACAATAGCACCAATGAGACCCAAGTTTGAATACTATCATCGCTCCCTCCAAGCACAAAGTGAAACCACAAAAACAGTACATTTCTAGGGGTGAATGCCTTCCCCAAACCCCTTCCCCACATACTTCCACCCCCTTTGACACTGGTATATTCATGTGGCACAGAGTTCACCCCCAATAAATAACTACACTTCCTCCTGCGAACTCCTGTTTCCATGTAGTACATACAGCCCGCATTTCCATCCTAACCCCAGCTCCAATAGTCCAATGTAGTCTTACCCTGTACATATTGCTTATGAAGCAATGTTTCATGAAGTCAATAAAAACATGACTGTCTACTACCCTACTTGACACCCCCCCACTGTAAAATGGCATGCCCCTCCACTTGCCATGCTCCTGGTCAAAACTATCACATCCACGGGCAACAACCATTTCAAAAGGGGGAAGTCAGTACAATTAACAAGTGAGTGCCTGTAAATTGGATGATGTGTTCATATCTATCAAGTTGGAATAAAATGATGCCTATGGACAAGTTCAATGCGACATTTTTGGTTAACCAGTCTCTTCACCAATGACTCGCAAACAATACAATCTACCTAGTGTAGGACGTTACAACAAAAAGAATATTTGCCCTTGAGATGTCGTTCTTATCTAGTTTATAGACCTTTTTTCTTCCTTAAGTTCTTTTTCCTGTACCAAAAAGAACAGTTGTCATATCAGTATGTCCCAGTGGTTCCTTTATAATGAGGATATACTGTACTATACTATACATGCAGATGACTGTCATACTCTGCAGCAAAACAAACCGATAAAATGTCTCTCACATGGTCAGATGTTCTTTCTATGGCTTGTATTTTAGAGATCTTTAACCTCCTCCCTGCTGCCTAACCCTGTAACCAATACAAATTTGGTGCCAAAAGGCTACCACAGCAAGGAGGAAGTTAAAACATTTACCGTACCTATTCATATAAGAAAACCCCTGGCATGAAATGGTAAAAATGTTGCAATTTTACAGATTGCTCACACACATAATTAATTACTTATACACGGTGTACTGTCGAAGTTTACAATCACAGAAATGTTGAGTTGACCCATGGATGCTGGCATTTGCACATGAAACCGTTTTCCTTCTTCAATCAGTAAAAACAAACAAACAAACATGTAATAAAAAAATGTCATCCATTGCACCTGACTCTGATGCCGATCAATTTTGACACACACTGTTGGTTCAGCTACCGGCCCGCCCTCCATATCTCACCTATACATACAAGTAATACTACAGATCTAGCAGGGTTCATTCTTACACGTACAGCAATATACATGCTACATCTGTACCAAGTAGTCTTGTCATCATTAAACACCAACTAAAACCCTGTCCAGGGAGACTCTTTTAAGTCTTAAAATCTTCCAGCGGAAGTTATCATGTCTTCCAATCACAAAAATCATATTTTCATCGCAGGTATTCCTGGCCAGTTACACTGTAATCATGGGGGTGATCACTTTGGACCTACACAGTCATACGTAAAAGCTACATACAGCCCGGACAAGTCAGCACTCAATAAAAACAACCATCTTCTGTACCATCTACAGTACAGCTCTTATGGACAGCACCATTCCTTAGTCTTCTCGCAGTCTTCAACCCTCTGGTGTTTTTCTGTTAAAAGACACTATCGACATTAACGTCCCCCCCTTCGTTTGTTTACAATGGTTCCTCCCGAACAGACAGCAAAACAAGTCCTAGCAGCTATTTGTTGGTATGTATGGTAGATTTTACATCGTGGAAGCTTTACACTTGCTGTCGTCCCAGCAAAAAATGTTGTTGCTATGGATACAGCTTCTACATTGTTACTATGGAGACAGTGCCATATTGACCTGCCAATCAATCAATGGGAACCGTGGTGTTTTCTTCAGCTTGGAATCTGTCTTGACGAAGTCTTGGTTACTGTAAGTTGTCGTATCTATGGCTATGGGGGTTACCATGGACACAGCTGTTGCATTGCTGTTGTCATGGCGACTGTTTCCGTGGTTACCACTGGATTTTGTTGAGTGTCATGAAGTAGACTTGACTGCTAGATCCCGAGCGAGTGGATGCAAAGAACACCTGAAACAGAAAAAAGAATGTTGAAGTCATCACAAAATCAAGACAAGCAATAGACATCTTCCCTCCATGAACGAGGTTGGTGTTGTTAGGGTTCTTTTTTATGTTATCACATGTGTTCATTGTTAAAACATGACAGCTGGGTTTAAATTTAATTGGACGTTATATGGCCATGAATAGTGAGGGAGTTGCTTTGTGTTGGTACAATTTTAATTTTTATCATGTAACGTTAAGTACCAACCCAGATAAACTTTCAAGCGAGTTTTAGTACTTAGAGACTTGTATGTTCTGAATTGAAAGAAAGAAGTAAAGAATTGATGGAGCAGCCTGCAAGGTGTTTGGTATACTTTATTCCATATATATCATTTCATAGCTATTAGTAATGCAAGAATCCTACTCTGATCTCTTTGTTAACTGAGCAAATTGATGTTAGGTGGTCACGAGAGAGAGGGACGACTTCACTCCCAGATATACAACTCAGGACTGGCCCCGACCACACGGTGGGAGGTAGTTTATTTACATCACTAATTGGTAACAGAGGTTGGGGGGGGGTACAGAGGCACAGATATCAATCCTGCAGAGGTGAGGTCATTGACCTCTCAATCACAACATGTACACAAACAAACCGCCCCATTAGCAAGGCCGGCAGGTCAGTAACCCAAAAATAACCAGACCAAAGAAATATATAGCCTGTCAAACAGGAGGTAAAAATAGATACAAGTGTATGCCAATTGGGGTCAACAAAGACCACACTACTATAAAATAGGGGTGATAATGTAGAAATCCTTTTAAATTAAGCAATACAAATATACGACAACCTGCTAATGCACTCTAAAACGCAAAGAGACTCAACAACTACCCACATACCAAATATTATACCAAACGACCCACCAGATTTTCCAAACATTCAACACAAAAAGACCAACTTTAAACATATTGTAAATATCAAACGCAAACAGCTAGGAAGCCCAAATTTAAACCACTAAACCATGGTAATAACAACTACATGCTACCTTAATATCGCACAAACAGTCCATAACGCGCAAACAACAGAATAAAAAAATTAAACTGCAGTACCAAGGTCAATCACCAGGGGCTCAAAGTCAACCTACACAATCTCCAAGGCCCCATCCATCAATCTGCCAAATATCGTACAGTTCCTTCTCACCGATCTTCAGATATCAGACCAAACATGAAACGGAGTAAAAACAGTACCCCCATTTTCATGGAGGGTAAAAATAACATCAGACTAAAAAGTGCCAGCTGAAAAATCTCTTCCCTGAAGAACAGGCTAGAAGGGGGTGGTACAAAAATGAAAAAAAGGAGGAAGAGTGAGGTTTGAAAACATGAAAGGTCTTAGCAAAAATATAGCATGGCAAGTTAGAAAACGTTATATTCCCACCAAACGTCTGCTTGGACATGAAGTGGTCATTCTTTCAGATTTTTGCTTTGTTGAATGTCAATGCATCGGCACGTGTTATTAATGTACATTCAACAGATAACATACCTTGTCATTCCTCTCACACAGGAACTTGAGTCTCTGTGCCCTCTTGTGCATGAAGACCCCGTCCAGATGCCCTGTCTCTACTGACCGGATCTCTATAGCCTTCTGTCCCCAACCCATGATCTGCCCTGTCCCTATATATGCTGGGGGAAACAACAGTGCAGCTTTCAGTAAGGGTCGAGGTTTAAATGCAAACTTAACATTACTTGTGAGGTATTAAAAAAAAAAAAGAAATCTTGCACAAAAAGGCAACAATCAATCAACCAATCAAACAATCAATCATTTTTCCTTGAGTGTACTCACCAACAGATGTGGGCATCTCTCCCCACTGTAGAACAATATCCTTGATGACTTTGCCATATGTATTAACATACACCCCCTCATCTGGAACAGAACAGTATCGTGGTGAAGACTAGATCTATGTTCTAGATCTACATTTTTAATGACCTAGCTTCTAAATGTTCTAGATCTATGTTCTGATTGTTATAGATCCTTAACTTGTTCTAAATCTTCTAAAGTAAGTGTTTTCAATGTTTTAACTCTATGTTCTTAATGTACTACAGTAGATCTATCAGTATGTTCTAGATTTTATGTTCTAAATGTTCTAGAATTATGTTTTTAATGTTCTAGAAATGAGAACAGAATAATCTAAACCAGGATAGTGAGTGAGTGAGTGAGTAGATCCATTTTCTAGATTAATGTTTTTATGTTCTACATGTTTGTTCTAGATTTATGTTTTCTGATATTCTAGACCTATGTTCTAGATTAATGTCTTAATGCTAGACTAATGTTTTAATGTTCTAGATCTATGTTCTAGATTCATGTTTTTAATGTTCTAGATTGATGTCTTAAAGCTAGATTGATGTTTTAATGTTCTAGATTCATGTATTTAATGTTCTATATGGTCTAGATGTATGTACCTTCGTAGCACAGCAGAAGGTCCATTCCCTTGGAGTTGGGGAGAGTGATGATGGCGTGCGGCAGGATCCCACTGGAAATCTGCATGTGGGAAACAGAGGAGTGTCGATGGTGTAGGAACAACAGCTACACATGTGGGGCGGGAGGGGGGCAGGCAGATGGGTGTACACATACAGGAGAGAAGGGACACCGGTCAACAGAAAGGACTGCGTACACACACAAACAGAAAGACTCAGGCAGTATGAACTACATGTAGATGTTTCTGAGGCCTAGGAAAAAAATGTTGTGTTTCCTGTTTCAGTCCTGAAAAAATTAAGGTCGGAAGGTTGGGATTATCTTTTTTTTCTTCTTTTTTTACTTCAGTGATATCTATGTAAGGGTCCAACTTATACACTACAGTGTAACAAAGTGAAACTTGCATGAGGACACTTTTATTTTCAATGTCAATGTTAGAAAACCAATTGTACAATGTTTAATCACTCAGGTGTCAGATCATGGAGCTAAAAAAGGTTGATCAGCTAAAAAAATTAATCATGTATGTTCCTTACAGGGGTCCACCCCCCAAAAAAGTCTAGGGTCGGCAGGTTTTTCTAGGGTTAGTCGGGAAACAGTTAACACAAATGTTACATTTTTTTCCTAGGCCTAATGAAATAACACCAGGCACTTAACATTGAGACGAGCACTAGGCCTTTGACTGTATGTATTGTGACATAAACATTTAGACATCATAGCACAGTTGAAAAGCATGCCGTTTCAAATAAAATTAAACAAATGATAGTAGTGCACAATGTGAAGAAAGCTGTAGAAGTTTTTATCCACCTGCAACCGCTGTAACAGGCAGAAGGAGGTGGGGCAGTAGACACAAACACAGCACACAACAAGATGTGGATAAAACATAGGAAAGAACACCATAGAAGTATGGAGAAGAAACAGAACTCAAGAACTATCTCACATGATGGCGAACACACATCACCTCCAAACAGATCTTAGAGTAGAAAAACGTACCATTTTCAGGTAGGCTACCCTACTGACAGACAAGCTGGTCTATCAGGAAATGTTACGATTTTAAACCCAACATCTGCTTGGAGAGTAAACACACACACAACAAAGGCTTATACATTTACAAACATTTTACTTATTGTACACATACAACAGGACAAAGGTGCAAGCTACTCAAACCAGTTCAAAGATACACATGCAATATTATTACTAGAGTTCCACGATCTCATACCTTCGCCAAATGATGTTAGCCTTTATGAATAAGAAATATACTAATCACCCTGATTATGCAAATAGGATCCTCAATTGCATGAATTTTATCAGTCTGTTGATCATATTCTCCAACAAAAGACAGTCTTATCTTAACAAAGAATTCCATTTTCTCATAAATTATGCAAATGTAGTCCTTATTTGAATAAGTTATGTTTAATTATGTTCACCTTCACTTAACTTTCAAACACCCCAAGTATGAAATTCCAGGCAGTTACCACTACGCAATTATAACATTTTCTCATTAATCATGCAAATTAAGTCTTCATTTGCATAATCAATCTTTGCCTGTGTTTCTCTCGTTCTTAATAACATATGTTACAAGCTTGAACTTCCTATCATGGAATGCAGCTGATTTATAGAATTTCCTCATTAATTATGCAAATTACATCAATATTCGCATAATTGTAATATCATTACGTCAAGCATCACTTAAGCTACCTACATACCAAAAATCACGATGATCCATCAATCGGTTCTTGAGTTATCCTCTTTTAAACATTTGTCCTTTAAACCCCCCTGCAGTTCTAGAGCAAGCTGCTAGGGGGCCTAAACTCACGTCACTTCTTCCCCAGCACAAGAGCTACCTACCAACCAAATTTCATCACCATAGCATGTCTGGATCTTGAGATATCAAAACCGGAAGTTCAGCTGCAGTACCATGACAAGCCGCTAGGGGGTCCAAAATCTAATCATTTTGAGGTCTCATCAAGACCTACCCATCTACCAAGTATCAAGACAATCCATCAAAGCCTTCTCGAGTTATCGTGTTGACAGACAGACAGACAGACACACACACACATACACGAACGCCCCTGAAAACATAACCTTCTTGGCGAAGGTAATAATACCAGAGAAATTATTAATAAACAATATTTCATCTTCCAGCTAACTGTTTTTGAGTGTTACTCCACTAAGGCCATTTGCAAAAATCTCAATTTCATTCATTGACAAGTATCATTACTTCTAAATTCATTGAATTAAAAAAATTAGCTGACATCTGAAGCAACTTTCTACAGTAACATACATTGTAGAAACAATTATGAACAGTAATACATAAATAACATTATATAGTAAAACACACTTGTATTATAGTTATCATTTTAGCAGCGATTTGGCATTTAGTGTGGCTCAGCTGGAAGAGCCACAGAATCTCTTGGATTTAGCAATGAACGTGTGCAGGGCTTTTTACCCCCATGAAAAATGGAGGTATTGTTTTTGGCGTGTCTGTGTCTGTGTGTGTGTGTCTGTCTGTGTGTGTGTCTGTGTGTTTGTGTTTTCGCACATTTTTAGTCAGCATAACTTCATAACGCCTTTATGGATTATGTTGATATTTGGTATGTTGGTAAGTCTTAGGAAGACGAAGGTCAAGGTCAAATATGGGCCTCCTGGTGGATGACCTTGGTACTGCAGCAGAACTTCCGTTTTTTTGTATCTTTTGTTTGAGTTGTAAGGACACTTACATGTGTGGGGATGTAGATGTTTTGTGAGTTGTAAGGACACTTACATGTGTGGGGATGTAGATGTTTTGTGAGTTGTAAGGACACTTACATGTGTGGGGATGTAGATGTCGTAGACTGCCGATGTGTCCAGGTCGATGGCGTGGAATCCCGCTCCTGACCCGTAGATGACCTTGAGCCTGCTGTCCTCCTCTATCGTCAGGTCCACCATCAGGGGTTTGTGGAGAAGGTCACCGAAGGACTGTACAGGAAGGAAGTGTTACTGTTAGTCTTACATACAGTCTAACTGTTTCACCAAAGGACTGTACAAGAAGGCAGTGTTAGTCTTATGTACAGTCTAACTGTTTCACATACAGTCTAACTGTTTTACCAAAGCCAAGGGACTGTACAAGAATGCAGTGTTAGTCTTATATACAGTCTAACTGTTTACCAAAGGACTGTACAGGAAGGCAGTGTTAGTCTTACATACAGTCTAAGTTCAGAAGTCTCACATATTGAATTGCTTCGACATTGAGTCTCATTGGATAAAGTAAGAATCTTGGACAGTGGATACAGAACCAGACATTTTTGCACAAGGGATTAAAGAGGCCATCTACACAAGGGCGTTACAACCATCCCTCAACAGAGACCAGGGTCTCCTCATGTAGCTTGTTTTGTGGCTATTTTAAATGCTTCAAGTATGAAAATTAAAACTAACATGTGCTAAGATACCAGTAATAAGAAAAGGCAATAAATGTCAATATCAGACAGATTTCCTCTTCAAGATTATTTTTGTTTTGCCCTCTTGAAATTGCATTGGATGCCTTTACGACAAAACAAAACAAAAGGCCGGCATTTTCTCTAAATTAGCCTGGGTACCATCCGGATTTTTGCTCTGCAACGCTGAAAAAAATCTTCGAGCGTTGCTGAGCGAAAATCCGGATGGTATCCAGGCTATCTTTAAATGACAACAAAGTGTTGTATCTCACCTTGAAAGCCATGAACTTGTGGTACGGCTTTGGTGCCCAGGCGTAGACCTCGATGCTATTTCTCAGTGCAATCACCAAGAACTTGATTCTTTCATACTTGACTGTGGGAGGAGAGGAGGGGAGCAAACCTTCATGTCACGGTTAACAATAAATATAACACATATCAACAGTGTTCTACGGGTGTGTCGGGTGTCTCAACATACATTTGTAAACCATGACATTCTCTGTTGTTAACATGAAATCAGTCATTATCAAATGTTATTAACTACATGTACAAGGATGTAAATGGAGTAAAGTTAGTCATCACCATAAGAGTTTTCTTGTTTTAGGTCTTTGTCCATTGAGTAACAGGAAAGAAAATTTATTGTTTTGGTACATGTGAAAGGCTCTTCTGTGAGAGAACTTTACAATATGGAAATGGATCTGTCATTAGTAAAACCATCATATATGTTTACTTTTAGAAAAAAAAATTGTGGCACTGCAGTACCACCATTTGTAACTAGGGGGCGTGCCTATGTCAGGCACTGATGTGAGAGACCAACTCATTGTGTTAGACTATTCCGAGGACATGGTTAACAGATTCATAGTCTTTGTCTTTTTAGCATCCTACAAAAGGAATACCAGGAATGAGTTGTTGAGTACATTCTAGCCAAAAGACACGTTAGTACCTAATGCTTGTTGGTGTTGTTGGAAATCAAGAGCAAAATATGATAAAAAGAGTTCAAAAATAATAATAATATGCTAATAAGAAATAAACTGCCAATCCCAGCATACCATGAAAACTTACCATCACATTCTTCCCATACAAGGACAAAAGCATGATGGGTAAGAATACAAAGGTGAGCAGTGGATTATGGGTAACACAAGACAAAAACTGGTGTACATGCATTGCCATGGCAACACTCCCCCTCAAAACAGTCATGATTAAATCAAACTTTTACCTTTCAAAAATAGCAAACTTTTTTCTTCTTTTGAATTTACTTAAAGCAAACTACAAAATATTTCAATATGAAATAAAAACGAAATGCATGCATGCTCCCCAAATATCGAAGTTTTGTTGATATTGCACAGCTACATGTATGATGTACAACATAATACCATGCAGACAAAAAAGTACAAACAAATACAAATCAACTTTAGACCTGAAAAAAATAAAATAGCAGACTATTATTTCAATTTATCTTTTGAAGAATGTAATAAGAAAAGGTTGTTTCTTGAAGTCTTTGGGCAAGGTTCTGTAGATTTGATTCAAAACTCTGCAAATATCTTGTTGATTGTTTATGTTCATTTTGTTTATGTTTATTTTTGAGAGGGAATGCTGGGAGGGGATTGGCCAGTAGGTGACCAACAAAGGCAAAAAGAATACATAATAAAGATGACTGGTACAAAACATTGCAAAGTGCAGTTAATCATATGGTAATGATATGTGTGTGGACAACTGAATTAACCGCTGTTTAAAAGGCAACACCATTTGTATAACTTAGTTTTAGTGTATAAAAATGTGCACTGACTTTCCTATATGTACAGTCTTTCCTGTTTTATCATCAACTATGTAGAGTTTTTTTTAATTGTCTGTACTAGTTCAGGACATTCCCTGAACACTGAGATGAGTTTGAATGGCACACACTCTCTGTGTACTTACGGGTTGGAGATGTACATGTGCAGTGCTATATGGTGACAGCTATCCTGCGATTACTTACCCACTTTATAGTGGACACACCCCTCTAAGTCTCCAACTGACACCCAGCCATGTCTTCTCTCAGTCTGGAAAATCAAAATCTCTCTTAAGTGCTGAATTTTACAATCTTATCATTCTAAGAAGAAATCAGGAGCTTTTGTGAATTTATTGGTAGAACCAAAGAGATGGTCTGACATCCTTTGAACGAACGTGGCATTTTACATCATGTGGCAGGCATGACTTGAGACTTACATCTGTATCCCCTTTCAGAATCTTACTCTTCAGCCAGGAGAGGTAGTACACCCTCAGTTTGTTCTTCTTCCCTGGAGGAACAACAGGAAACAATGATGTTAGTACTTGGCTTTCAACATAAGGACATCTCAGCTCAGTTAGAGTTAAACCTTCCCACAGCATACATGTATAGTCTATAGAGCAATGCCCATCTCTGTTTCTATAGCCCTTGGGCCACACAGCTGTTTAAGCAGAATATCAAGGAGATAGTTCACTGGAAGTGGTGTATGTTCAACTACCATTGTACTCTAACTTACTCTTTCTAAGTTCTGATTGCTAAGCTGAAAGCTGTATACTTGGCAGAGGATCAAGCCTACAGCATATTGCATGCATGGCAAACATTCTGGAGAAATTCATAGTGACTACAATGTAAGCTGGACCATGTAAACGATCAATCCATAATACTACAACACATGTGTATCCTGTAATTTAAATGCTGAATCATCATTCCCTACCTGATATAGACACTAGGATGTTCTGCCCTTCTAGAACATCGATCTGCTGAAACCTTCTCCGACTGATCAGGGGATAAACTGTGGAAACAGGAGGAAAATTCAGTATCAGCATCGGTCTGCATTATTGCTGTCATACACTGTCTAGCTTTTTTCTGGTCTTAAACGTTAGTGGCAAGAGCACTACATGCTCTGAGAAGGCCATTTGTTGCGAGGATCATTTCTGTCTTCATTGTCACCATATTACTGATCATGGTTGCAATGAGGCCTCAGTCAAGCTCTTGTTATTTCTGCTGACACAAATAATAAGTTTACTACTTCTACTACAAATGTTATCATTGTTTCTTGAATACATGATTGACAGGTGTCAGACCTTCTCCATGTCCGCTCCTATCCAGCAGCACCAGTCCGTTCTCCGTCCCTATCAGCAGATTCACCCCTACAGACAACACAAGGTCAACGACTGTTAGGACAACGACCCTTAGCTTAACATCTTCTGCCTTTGTCATGAAAGTTCATCTGTGTTGGAAGTTGCATGTTTAAATTAAAGTTAAAACTTTTGACCCAGTGTTGATGTCACACTTCCAAGAAGCCATGTGACAAACCTTACTGGGTCAGTCTACTGAGGAAGACCAGAGTGACTGGTAAGAAGCTCTAGGTGAAAACATCTTTGTGTTGGATCAAAAGTTTTAACTTTAAACATCTTCTGCCTTTAAACATCTTTGTGTTGGATCAAAAGTTTTAACTTTAAACATCTTCTGCCTTTCTAAACATGTATTCAAGCTTACTTTCTTTCAGGAATTCTCCAGTGACATATCATTCAGTTAGCAAACTGAAACTAAAAGTTTCTCCAATGCTGAATTTGAACTTTGGTTTGGAGAAGAAGAAGAAACAGAGCAAAAACAATATGTTTTCCTTCGAAAAACAAAAAAAATCTGTGAGTAACGCTGCTCACCCCACAAAGCAGCACACAGAATCTCCGAGTTGAACCTCTTCTTGTACTTGCGAATCTCGGGCATGTCCGGCTGGGGGTTGATGGGAGTGACATTAACATTGACCTGTGACCCCTTCCTCTCGGGGGTGCGGGGAGGGGTGCGCTCAGCGGAGCTCCCCTCCCCGCCCGGCTGCGGCCTACGGTCGCCCGCGCCAAACCCAAACGCCGTGAACGATTTCTGTTTGGCAAGGTTGTTGCTATTTTTAGGGGCCACCGCCTGTCGGTACTGCATAGGGAAGAAAGCAGAGAGGTAGACATAAGTACATGTACATGTGCAGTGTTACACATTCAAGCAACACATTCATATTGACTTGACACATCAGTACAGCAGTTTAACACCTACATGCCAAGGAATGATTTCAGTACCAAAACTGCCTTAGAAGTAAATTTGCAAGTACAAATGTACAAGTTTAAAATGAGCTGTTCTTACATCAGAAAATTCTCTGTCACAAAACATGGATATAATTGTCAAAAGTATCTGATAATTTTTTTCTTGACATTGAGTGTTTATCCATGGATGCCATTTTGATATGTCAAAGTCAAATTTGTTAATATCAAATTGACATAATAATCAGGACTTAAGTTCATCCATTCAATACTTTATCAGTAAATTATCACATACAGTATGTATGCTACATGGTGTATATTTGTTATTACACATTGCCTTTACATACACTATCATGCAGAGCTTAACCTCAATAACTCATAAAAACACTGCATGCACAATATGATAATAACAACAGTGACATATAGACACTATCACCCAACCTTTCAACAGAAGGGAGGGAGGTGGGGAGGGGGGCACTAGAACTGAAACATGGGTGGAGAACTGAAAACTACACACGAGACGTCCCACAGAAAAATGTATGGAAGGCCACTGGTCACCACCCACACAGCACCGCCACAAGGATTCATGCTTCAGTTGGCCTCACCTCAGTACAAGTTGACTTACAATTATGTCCAGCAGGAGTTAGTGTGCAGCGGGAGGGGGGCAGAAGAAACCGGATTAGAATAGAACTGGCACACCACCACCACCCACAATTGGCAAGGTCACTCCATACTTTTGGCAATGCTTGCTTCAATATTTTGAGTAGGCTGTCCAAATGCCTCTCTCAAGTTCAATATCCTTTTATGTAATGTTAAGAAGCTTTTTTTGTCTTCATCCCCAAAGCTAAAGCCTTTTGTAACAGACTCAGAGCTGTGTGCTACGATGAAACCACAAATGAACAAAAACAAAAAAAAGACTTTGTTGCTTTTGAGTTTTTGTGACTAACAGAATACTGGACCTATAACTCATGATTAGATCAAAAAGAATAACAGATTTGTCTCTGTCGAGCAAGACCACAGGTCAACTGATGAAACAACTTTTACTCAATCCCAAATATCATCCCATCTTAGTGCAGAAATCCATTAAAGAATGTATGTCAGAAAATCCTCCTTAAAATCATCTAGAGGACCTGAAAAAGTTAGCGTGCTGAGAGACAAAAATTTTCAGTGCTGTCAACGCTCCAAAGCCTTTGTAAAATTTGCAGCGTTACCGACATTTAAAATCAAGCAGCTTCAACACATAAGCGTCACCTTGCCAAACAGAAACAATGGGCACTGGAAGAAAAACTCACAATCACACAGGTCATATTTGTCCATGCCAATGTTATCCCAGCAAAGGAAAGAGTAGCCAAGTCTACAGAACTCTGCGAATCACCATCTTTTACTGGCTAGTTTATAACGAGCTACTCTTGCCTTTGGTTTTCTGCGTACCTCCTCAGACGTGGTCTTGTCCTGTGGCACCTGCCCGGACTTGTTCGCGCCCGAGGATGGTGACGAGTGTTGGCTCTGAGGCAGCAGGTCGGGGAGGACGTCACCAGAGCTGCGCGCGTTCACCACCGAACCATTGGCCCGTCTCTCGCCTGAGCCCTGCTGTGATACGCATACGGAATTGGCATCATATCAGACATAGCTGCTGATCTTGGGATGACATTTTGTGCCTCACATTTCTCAGTGTTACACCAACCCTGCTGGCAGCATATCAGATGTACTGTACATTCATTTACTTTTGCAGGATTTTACTTCGCAGTAGGAGTGTTATGGCATATCTTCCTCTGTTCTGAGTTTGTGATAAAAAAAATACTGTAGCACAAGACCACATTAACACAGTGCTATGATTTCACATTGAACAGGTTGCAAAAATAAAACCGCCGCAAAGGTTTCAAAATCTACAGTAGTCCCTGGTCTCAGGATGACATTTTGTGGCTCGCATTTCTCAGGGTTAGTCAGACCCTGGCACTTCATCAGTGTGACACATTAACGGGGAGGTTGAGATCAGGACACTCTGTCATCCACAATCTTCCCTGGCTTAATGATGCATCTAGACTTACTGCAAAGATATCTGCACAAATTGCATTATCCATCTCTTTTACACACAATGGGGTCAGGGAATTTGTGCTTGAGGAAAGAGAAGTCATACAGTCATACCATCAACTGTACCTTCGGGATTTTTTTTAGAAACATATACATTATAGATACTTGTTATGAAGTCTAAGATAAGATATCTACACTATACCAAATAATATAGTAGACACATCTAGATGTCTTCTTTTCAGAAGTGTTTTACATACATTATCTTACATACATATCTTACATGTATATCCTTTCTGTTGGTATCATTGTGGTTTTTCTATGCAAATGGACTTAAGTTATAATGGACGTACTAGTATCAGAAATAAGACTATCCTGTTTACCTACAAATTTCACCACATGTAGTTACATAAAGTTGTTTTCTATGCGATTTGATTTGAATTATTGAAATTGCAACAGTGCAATACACGTGGGACACAGGCAGCTGTTGCTGGTGTTGTGTGAAAAGCAAGGAAACTCACATTTCTGACCACCAGAGTGTCACTGTCATTACTGGAGTTGTCCTGTGCGCTGGGAGTGGGCGTGGCTGTAGTTGCCGTGGTGACAGATGAGATGGAGGGCTGGGCGGAGGGGGGGCGGGGTCTGTGCTCGGGAGACACCTCCTGACTCTCCTCCTCATCCTCATGCACGATCAGGGTGTCAAAACCGTCTTCTTTCACCTCAGGTCTGAAAACACAACAGCATCATATTACCAAGTTCATCTGTGTTGATAGTAATCATAGTAAAATGTTGAACTTTATTCCAACACACAGATTACACAGAGATCAAATTTTCAGCAAAAATGTTCACATTTTCCTTGGAACAAATAAATTTCACTGTCAGTCACTGAGGATATGCAAATCCCCTAGCAGATTTTTTCAAACTGCAGAATGCAGGCATATAACTCAACTCAACAGTTCAAACAATGCAACATTACTGTTGAATAATTTTGACAACTCATAAACTTGTCAATTTTGCCATGCATTTTACAGCAGACACTCGCCTGGCATCCATACTATTCTAGCACTGACTACCTCCTCTGACTGTTTCACTGGCAAATAGTCCAGAACTTATCAAAAGATTCCAAAATCATATCCAGTTGCATGAGTAACTGATTTTTGGCGTATCGTATTACCTGGATGTCTAACCTTCATCGACTTATCAAAAAATTATTTGGGATTTGAAAATTTGCCTAAAATATGATAGCAATCGGAGAAGAGCACTGCAGCTAGAAAAGGTCGGATTCCAGGCTAAGTAGACGGTGGTTAACACGGCAAAAACAGCAGACCAAGTCCTGTTAGTTCCACCTCTATGCAGAAGTAGACAGACTTGCCTGGCGTCGTTATCTACATACATTGGTCTTGGCGGGTCGGAGGCCAGGATGGTTCCGTCACGCGTGATCTCCGAGATGTCGTCCAGACTGTCCTCCTCCTCGCTCTCCTCCCCGTCCCCTCCGGCCGGGGGCGGCGGCGCCGGTCTGGCGGGAATGCTGGGAGCCTCGATGGCTGTCGCCATGGCACTGAGCTCTTCTGCCAACACCTCCAGGTCCTGAGGGTTACACACCTCCTTCTACAGGACAGAGAGAGAAGAAACAGACTGAGAACTAGAAAGGTAACTAGAAACTAGAAAGGTAAGTCCTCCTGCTATAGAATTGCAACATGATGTAACTCAACACCAGTTACCATGGTGACAGACAGCTGGTTCAGGTCATTGACCTTATTGGTTTGGAGAAGTGACACTAGTCTGGCAAAGCAAATGCATAATGTTTACCTTCGCATATGGTCTGCTCTGTTAATTCTTACTCAAGCACATTCATATATAATTATGGTCAGACAAGAGTCTAAATCCCTCCTGCTATAAAATTGCAACATGATGTAACCCAAGACTAGTTACCATGGTGGCAGGTGTCTGGTTCAGGTCATTGACCTTATTAGTTTGGAGAAGAAGAAGAAGAGGAGACAGAGCAAAAACAATATGAAGGGAAATTGGTCCCTGGGTAGACTAGTAGGTGGCTACAAGATAGATTCTTCTTAATCATTTTGTCAACAGAAAAAAAATCACCAAAAAAGTTGCAACAATGGCAAGGTGGTCCTTATAAAAGGAGCTTATGGAGAGGTGGTCACAGACTCACTAGGTTTACTTAGCACTAATGGTCCAAAAGTTTATATTGTAAATGGGGATGAAAATCCATGATAATGGTTGATGGTTAAAAGTTGATGGACAAATATTTTTACACAGCAAATCACTCACCTTGGGTTTGTTGATCTTGGTAATGCCAGATGGGCCCTCTCCAGCATCAGCCTGGCTGGAGGTGTCTGCCACAAACAAACAAACAAACATGGTAAACAAAGATGATCTGTACGTAGAGACATTTCAATATCTTCACTTAACATATAATCCAGAAGCAAAAAGACCAGAAAGAAGAATGTAACTACAGTAAATTTATTTGATTTCGAGATACTTCATTTTACAGTTGGGGAAAAACATGGGCATTTGTTGTGTTTAAAGTTTGTTGTGGGCACACAGAATGCATTACTGACTGTACTGTTTGCAGAATGGTAATTTCCTGACTGAGAAATCATGATGCAAACTTTGAACAACAAATATTTCAAGATTTCTAGCATGACATTACCTTTCTTGGCATGTTTAGGTGAGGCTGCGGCCCCGTTGACGACCCTGGAGCTGGGAGGAGTACTCTGTGCACTGCTGGAGGCCGAGCTGTGAGCCGGCGAGCCTCTGGACTGGGGAGGCGTGCTAGGCTTGACCGCGTGCTTGGGCACGGGGGGAGGCGTCTGTGGTTCGTAGTTACGCGGCGGCAACTCCGGAGGAACGTCGTCCGAACTCGAGGACTGAGACGAGCGGGTAGAGTGCGTGGGCGTGGCCTGGGGCGAAGCACGTGAGACGCCGTGGGGCGGGACGGGGGGAGGGGTGTCCGACAGAGACCGTCTGAGCTGCGCCGGTAAGTCCTTGGTGGCGTGGCGGACCTCGGGTGGGGTCTGTGACCTGCCTGGGTGCCTGACCTGTGGCGGCGTGTGCTGAACTCTCTGCACAGGGATTCTGGAAGAGTCCGATTTTGGCAAAGGCTGCTGGGATCTGGGCGGAGTCTGGGATTCCTTGGACGCAGTGGCCTTGGGCGGAGTCCGTGACTGGGGGTGGGCAGGGGGGAGGCCCTGGGGGGGCGGCTCCACCATGGGCTGAGGTTGCTGGGGTTGAGGCTGGGAGGGGGGGAAGTTGACGGAGACTCGCTGGGGGGAGAGGGCGTCCGACTGTAACTGCCAGGGCTGGGAGAGAGGGGGGACCGGGGCAGGCTGGAAGGGGGGTGGGGGGACCTGGGGCTGGGGCTGCTTTCTCGACTGTTCTCTCGGCTGTGGTTCCACCTGAAAAGCATTACAAGTCATCACTATTGGTTAATTCTTGTCACTTCAAAAGGTAAACTTACATGTGGGATGATATAGAGAAAGTATCATTTACCTGAACAAACCATACCAAAAGGATGAAGTTCAAGCTTTAATAACTTACTTCCTGAAAGTAATAACTGTCAAAGCAAAACAAGTTAGCTTTACTGCTTTCTAATCAACAATTTCTGCTTTCTAGTCAACAATTTCAATTTCATATCAAGAATTTTAGAGAAGAGCTACCTGAGGTTGTGGCTGCTGAGGCTTCTGGGAGGATTGCACGGGCGCAGCGCTCTGTCGCTGCAGGTGGCGTGCGTTCATCTTCGTCCGCTCCTCAACCTGGGGCAGCCAAATAACACAGTCAGGACAGGGACATGGAGCTACTCAGCGCTAATCTTACATTTCATCTGTGAATCTATAATTTGTTAAACAGAAACTCCAGTCAAACCTGTACTAGTGACCACCTCTGTGTTTGGACTAATCTCCAAGCAGATCTTTCGGTGGCAAGACAGTATCCATTGGCCAGAGGAGTGTCCATTAGCCACCTTCGGTTGGCTAATGGATACAGGACAGCCAATGGATACAGGATGGCCAATGGATACTGTCTTTTGCCACCCAACCGAAAGATCTGCTTGGAGATTATGTTTGGACCACCTGCCACTTCAGACACTTTTTGTCAGTCCTTTTAAGTTATATCACTTTTTCTGGTAGGTAGGTAGGGACTATCTTCTTTTTTCTTTCCTTTTTAAAGACTTCACTGATATCTATATAGGGGTCCAACTCATACAATACAGTTTAACAAAGTAAAACTTGCATATGGGGACACTTTTTCATTCACCCAACCATCAAGAATACTATCTACTGTGATCAGTCACATCCCTGGAGTGGTACACACAGGTTTGACTGTATACTGACTACTTAACTTGTAGTTACAAGTGAATTGCTGTATGGATGCACAAGTACAAGAAGAGAGAGATTTGAAATAGACATTTCCTACAACATGTATGGCTATCCACACTCAGTGATTTGTGAGGAAAGCCTAACACACTAGGCTGTGGTATCTGTGGTGTGGAGGTGGGGGAGGGGGGCACAGACGCTGTGTCTTTTACCGCAGGCCCTTCCCAGCATTCCTGTAGCTTCTGGGCACTCCTCCTGGTTAGGTCATCCACCTAACACGGGATGGTCAGTCATCCACCATGGGAACATGTCAGATAGATGGTCAAGTCATTCAAACTTCTAACTTCATTTTAACTTTTAGTTGTTTGTTTTTTTTGACACCACTTCAAGGAAGGATAATGATACACAAATAGGACTGGTATAGTATCAGTAGTACCTAAGTCAGAGACATCAATGTTTGACTCACTGAGAGTATGGTATGCTTACACATGTAATGGAACATTTTTTCTCTAACTTTCATAAAGGACCTGGTGCAAAATCAACTATGCTGCTGGTAGAAGAATGATAAAGATGATGAAAAACAAAACAAGAAAAATATACAGCTTGGAACATCTGACTTCATGTCACCATGTCAGTTTGATTTTGAGTGTTAACAGTGCAGACTTATGAGATAATCCCTCTGCACCTGTGAGGGATTCCTTAGCCCACCCACCTGCTGGGCCCAGAGGGGTTTCTGTGGCTTCTGCTGCATGGCCTTGACCTCCTGCGGCATGCCCACCACCAGCCCAGCCGTCTGCTGCACCTGCGGGGAGGCCGCCACCTGCGGCACCGGCTGCGAAACCGGCTGCGACTGGCTAACCACCATGGGCTGCGGGATACGCGAGTGATCTTTCCCCGACGAGGGTCTCATCTACAGAGGCAAGAAGAGCCACCACTCAGCAGGAAGGACCACCCAGCTAGGAAGTACACGTACCTTACACCAGCTCAGAAAATAACAGTCAACAGAGTTTGAAACTACAAACGTTAATCCAGCGTTGAGGCATTCCCTGGCAAGTTTAAACTGTAATTTCCAACACAAAAAATTGGGCTTACCCATTCCTGAACACAGATGAACTTTCAAGAGCTGGCAAGTTTGTTAATGAATTCTCTAAGAAGCCAGAACCGATAGAAAAAAATCCTTCCCACACCGTTCAGTGTATGAGGTGGTGGCCATATATATTACTATAGCCCTTGGGCCACCCAGTCGTGCAAGCACTACAGCAGGGGATAGTGCAGTGGTAGCCAAAACTGACAGTATTATACCTGTGAACAGTTTCATCAGGTTGGTAAGTTACTGACTAAAGAGACTCTTTTCACACAACCAAGACATTAGTGTTTAGACATTAGACATAGATGCATTCCCAAAGCAGCTACACCTGTGCTGCAGTGCAATGTGAACCAGTCAGAATTACCCTCAGGAAGGTGACAGACGGTCATCGAAACTTCCGCTGTGAATAAAACACTTGGTTGTATAAAAAGAGTCTCTTAACTCTGACAGGACTAAGCACGTCGGCAGAACGTACTGCGCCTGCGCAGAACCCCGTATTTTCGTGTTTTTCGTCTGGTTTTTGGTCAATGTTGCATCAGAATTTTGCCTGTTGCAGAGGATATTCTTTCAGACAAAACAGTTGGAAACTACTGTCGAAATGCTAACCTTATATGAGCGAATACAACCTTATATGAGACATTCTGCCAAAGTGCTATGTACAATACATTGCGGGTTTCGCGCAGGTGCAGTACGTTCTGCCGACGTGCTACCGGACTACACGTTTGTTCCTGAGAATGGCCGTGCCTACCTGCTGGGGCTGTAGGGGAGGCTGCATGTGCGACTGCTGCCCAGACCTCTGCAGCTGGTTGATGGCCATGTGCTGAGGTCTGTGGTTATGGTCCCGCCCTGACCTCCCCTGCACACAACAAACAAGGTGGTTCAGTCCAAATCTTAGACTCGTTAGAGGACATCGCCAAAAAGCAGTTACTCAAGCAACTGGATATGATTTTGAAAACGTCAGATGTTTCAGCTAGTATCCACTAGCTTTCGTCAGTCACTGACGAAATGGGTTGCTTGAGTAACTGCTTTTTGGCGTATCGTATTACCTGGATGTCTAACCTTCATCGACGTATCTTAGAGGACATTATTGCAAGTCACGTCAGACGTACAAGTGATCTTGGTCCAGAAGCTAATCAAGGAGCTACTCTGATCTTCTACTGGGCGTAACATTAAAGACAAACAATATTTCATAGTTTATACAGGTTCATTGTGATTGGGTACTTGCCCTGTTCTTTTTATTACAACAATGAACAGTGGAAAGGACTGCATCCCTTTCCAGTAGCATGCACATGTCATGTGAGTGACAACAGCTTGAATCGGAACTCCCAACCTCTTGGTCCAGAGGCAGAGCCACTGACTACTAGACTGAGCAACACACATAGAGTGGATAATGTCGTCAACTTTGAAACTTTATTCACACACCTTCTTGCAGACAATAAGTCTGAATTGGTAGGCATTTACATCGGTAATATAAAAGTGCTAAGGAGTTAAACAGGAGCTGGTGCCACCCGTACCTCTCTGTCCCTACGTCTGTCCCTGTCCCTGTGTCTGTCCCTGTCCCGGTCCCCTCGCCCCTCCCGTTGGCGTTCCTTCTCCACGCGATGTCTCTCCAGCCGCTCCTGCTGACGCTGCATCTCACGCTGACGCTCGTGCTCAATCTGTGGGGAAAACACAATTGAACCAGTGAAAATTTTTCACTTGTCTTTTGCACCCACAGATTCAGTTATCTAGAATATATGTTTGATTGTTACATCACTTGAGAATGTGAATGACAATATTTTGTATGAAAATTAATGTCCGTAGTACCTTGGCTTTCCTGCTTCCTCAGTATTGTATATGCATACATATAAAGGCTGCAAGGTTCTGTGTCAGAAAAGAATTCCCACTAACAATAATACCTTTTGATAGCATATTTTAATGAATGAAGACCTTTACTGTACATTTTGCCCCACTGTGCTTAAGATATTTTGTGTTCACCACAGAGCAATTCTGGCACCCGGTATGGTTGCCTGTGAGTCTGTTGTTAGAGCGTATTGTGTATGTTTGAGTTTCAAAGTGAAATAAACCATTCTACTACTACTACTTCTACTACTAGCTGACCTGCTTCTGGCGTTTCCGTCTCTCGTCCAGTTGACGCTGCTGGTGCTCGCGCTCCCGCTCGTGTCTCCGTCTCTCCTCCTCCGCCCTCATCCTGGCCGCCTCCCGCTCACGGTTCTCCTGCTGAAGCTTCAGGAAGTTCTTCCTGAGGGTGGACTCGCCCGGTGCCTGCACGACAGAGCTGGGGGGGACAGAACGTTTTTTATGGCTTCACCACACCACAAAGTGGTACGGGGGATGTGATGAAGCCATCTGCTGCATTTGCTACCGAGTTGTTTGTTTTTTTAAGTTATTTGCACATAGTACCTAATACAAGCTCAAAAAAGAACAAGAAATGAAGAAACAACAATGCCTTCAAGTACCAGAGTTATCAACCAAGGGTTCAGGTGTTAAAAAACTCATTCTTTCCTAGAACTGTTGCAGAGTGGAACTCGCTGTTACCAAGCCTAGAAGGCTTATATAGAGCCCGCCTTTTCATTAACGGAAACAAAGATATTGCAAAAAAACAATGACAATGACTATGGAAAATGATGGCTGTTACTACCTTGGCTCCCCCTCTTTCTCCAGAGTGGGATCTTCCTCCCCTTCACTCCCACTGTATTTGTACTCCTCCTCCTCTGTATGACTCCCCTTCTTCTTCTTCACATATCTGTCAATGTGGTCCTTCAGTTGTATTCTCACCTGGGAGGAAAGGGACAAGAGTTACTGTAAATGTCTTTACTTTCCCAGGCTGATGACTGGTTTTATTTCTTTGTATGAGAGAAAAGGAGGACTACACTGTGTTTGGATTCATAGTTGAAACAATTTTGTAGTGCAGTACATGTAATTACAGAAGGGAGACATATCCATGGTGTCATGAATTCACGGTGGAGGTTACCACGAAAATAAAACAACTGAGAAAGCATCAAGATTTACATAATTATGACACACTTCCTCACCATCCATGAGTTTGATTCTTATCCTATTCAATTTCATATAAGACTGAAGGTTGTCTTTCAGGACTAAAAATCTGTATACATGCGTGTGTTTGTTTGTTTGTTTGTTTGTTTGTTTGTGGACGCACCTGTCTCTCTGTGGGCTGGTCTCGTATGAAGGGGTGCTTCAGTAACTGCTCTGTACTGGGCCGCTGGTGATAATTCTTCACCAGGCAATTTTCTACGAAACTTACAAACTTCTTGCTCCTGAAAAGATGACACAAAAACACAAACCACAAACTGTTAAGTGCATGACTTTACAAGAAAACAAGAGGTACATTGTGTATATGCCCAAACCATCTTTGAAGACATGAGGTGTTGAAACACTGGGAACTCCTACATTGTACGATACTGGTAGGTACTTGCAGTAGATTTTTTAAAAATTTACTTGATGTTCACCACAAAACAAGGCTCATGGGAGCCACTCAAATGTTTTGGGTTAGGTAGTAGTACAGGTAGTGAGGACAGATGTTTGTTGACCTTAGACGTGAAAAGATCCTAGAAACCTGTCATCTCAATATTTTGAAAGCAAACATGAGGTGAATCTGATGGTACTTATACCCCTTGGTCTTATATATCTGACTATGACATGACAAAGCAAAAAAGTTTAAGTAAGATTCTTACCATTTCTTGGATTTTAATCTTGGAGGAGGGTTCCTTGGGATAAGGAATAAAGCCCTCATTGGGTGAAGATCACATAGGGCTGAAATAAAAGAGATCAGAGTGTTATTGTTCAACACTGATATTGTTTTTAGGATGATCAAAATATTATTGAAATTCATATACAAAGATCTATTGCAGGTAAACAAATAAACATTTATTAGGTACTTACGTGGCTGTGATTCAGCCATTTCTAATGCAGTGATACCGAGAGACCACAGGTCACTCTGAAAGCACAAAACAGATAAACGTTAACTACTTCAAAATCTCTAGATCTATAGCAGCGACACCTGTGCTGCAGTGCAATGTGAATCAGTCAGAACTGCCCTGAGGAAGGGGACAGACGGTCACCAAAACGTCGGCTGAATAAAAGACTTGGTTGTGTAAAAAGAGTTTCTTTACTCATCCTTTATGCTGTTTAAGACATGATTGTGACAGTGACCTACCCTGTAGTCATAAGTAGCATCAGGGTTCTCATCACAAGCGATGACCTCCGGCGCCATCCAGTACGGCGTGCCGATGAAGGTATTTCTCCTGCCTATAGTCCGGTCCAACTGTGCGCTCACTCCAAAATCAACTACAGCAACACAACATCATCATCATTAGAATATAGGGCTTGATATACCACCTGCATATGCAGGTTATATGTCAGTCAGTCTCAAAAGACTATGACTAACTGCGCAGGTCAAACAGGATGGCTCATTCCTATCTACATGTACAAGACAAAACAGATTTGAGCCTAAAGTCATGTTACAAAAATGTTACAAATATGCAGGTTAGTGCAGGTAAAATAGACAAGTTTACCGTTCACTGATCACGTGAACTGCTGACATTTCGACTGAACACCATTCTAGAACCGGCTTTTGCTTGCGTTGTCCCCCCTGGCAGATTTACTGACGTATGCAACTCTGATTTCTGAAAGTTCCTGACCTGGGTCCGTACAATGAGTCTAAAGTTTATGGATACTTCGAATAAGGATGGCTGTCCCTTGTTTGCTTCCACCCAAGTTAGTTAGTGTTTTGTTGTGTGGATGACTGACCTAGTTTGACCTCTGCGTTGTCTGTAAGCAGGACGTTCTGCCCCTTGATGTCTCTGTGGATCACCTTACAGCTGTGCAGGTGGGCCAGACCCTGTAGGGACACACACAGGACATTGTAAACATACACACACATGTTCTTACCATGCATACTTGCCAACAGAAAATAGCTAACATGTTCCTAAAGGTTTGCTAATACAAATTAACTAGTTGTTGCCATACTTTGTATTTAGCAAGTCGGCAGAACGTACTGCGCCTGCGCAAAACCCTGATATTTCACGGATTTTGTTGCATGTTTGGTCAACGTTGCATCAGAATTCTGTCTGTTGCAGACACTATCTTTTCCGACAAAACCTTTGGAAACTACAGACGGGGTGTTAACCATATGCACATGAATACGACCTTATATGAGACATTCTGCCCATATGCACGTACTGCATCTGCCCGTATACTGGTTTTGCGCAGATGCAGTACGTTCTGCCAACATGCTACTGTGTACTTGATAACACACATAAACACACACATACAGACAGTCATATAAACACACTTCCAGTCTTCAACTTTCAACAATGATACTACAGATAAACTCCAACACAACAATTGTTAATACCTACCCTAAGAATTTCTCTGCAGATGTAGGCTATCCACTCTTCCTTCAGGGAGTTTCCTTTTGTTGCTGCGAAGAAAACAGGCATCGTTAACATTTAACAGCACCACCTACTGGATCTGATGAATATTACAGCTCCAACTCATTCATCATATCACACAATGTAATATAGAATCCTGAGATAGATGTTAGGATGAAGAAAAGGTAAGAAAAATGTAAGAAGAACATACCTTTGACCAAGTCTGTGACTGATCCAGCTCCACAATATTCCATCACAAGCTGGAACAATGAAGTGAAAACTGTCACATTGATTCAATATAAATCAAACTAGAGTTCCACAACCTTAGAATATCAAACCAAACATTTCCTGGTAAAAAGCATTACAACCATTCCTCAACAGAGACGAGGGGATGCCACAAACTTTCTGCAACCTATAATCCACTGCTCATGGAGTCACGTGTGTTACATGTATCTGCGTGACGTCACGGAAGCGGTGGATTGCTCAATCCTTGACAAGGACTGGAGTTGACAATTTGGGTGAGTCCAATTTTGGCAATTGCAGTTTAAACTCGTTTCATAACAACTTCTACTAACACAGATAAACTTCCAAGACAAGTTCTTTGAAATTGTCAATGTTTTTTTCCTCACCCATAGCTGGTCATCCTTTCCTGGTGGACTTTTCTTGATGAAGGCTCCGTAGTAAGTAGCGATGTTCCGGTGGTGGGAATACTTCTTCAGCATGTTGATTTCTAGTTTGATCTCTTCTTCTTCATCCTGCAACAAACAAGAACATTCCAGTATTAATATCAAATCAATCCATGCCTTCATGCAACAGTTATGCCACATAAATCCACAGTCTCCCACACTACACCCAAACCGATTTCATACCCTTCTGACAAAGGTAATAATCAAGTTTAGCATGTTGATTTCTAGTTTGATCTCTTCATCCTGGAACAAACAGGAACATTACAGTATTTAATTTGTACAAGCCAGTTCACACTGACATCTTCAGTTTCTATTCTCTCAATACAGTATTCCATAAAGTTGTTGAAACTTTCATCCACCCTTTTTCCTTTTTTGCCCCCCACCCCCATGTAAAAAGACCGTACCCTTTCCTTCAAATCATCTGCAAATGTATTTTGTAGTATGGTCAAAATGTCAATGACTAGGATTGTCATTATCATCAATGTCAATGATATATTGAACCTAATATATTAAAAATGTATTACAGATGCTCAATGAAAGCAGCCAGGTTGACAGTGAGCTCTGTTTACAGTCCAAACACTCTTTTCAGTAGCTCTACCCAAACTACGATCTGTACAGTGATAAAAACACATGTACAGGTTTAAACACATCACTGTAAACAAGATCCCCAGGGCCACACCAACCATAACTGTGAGCTCAGCAGTTGTGTGTACAAGGTACATGGGTGGGCACTACATCACTTGAGTAAATTAGGAGGTGAGGAAAGACTTGAAGATACAGTTTCTTCAGCCTCCAAGACTTCTTTCTTGTCCCTTGAGGTCCCGTAATCCTAACTTGTCCTCAGGGAGGTTTACAGGAACTACAGGAACAGTTTAGCAGAGTAAATCTATCCTGGGTGAGTTGGAAGGTGACAGTGTTAACATGTGTGCCTCCCCTTGAGATAACACCTTTCCTAGTTCTGGGTCTCGCCTAACAGTCGCTAATTGAATACCCAAATCCTCGCCAAGCGGGAGGGGAAACGCTTTTTCCGAATGGAAATCTTCCCGGGAGCGAGAGGTCGCAGACAGGCTGGTAACGAAATGCAAGGTCAGGTTTGGAGATTAGAACTTTTAGGAGTTAACTACGCACGATTTGTGACATGTCAGCATCCCTCTGTGGGGTAGATCCTTCCACAGATTACAACTTTTAGGAACTAACAACTTTTAATGAGATTTGCTTAACATCAACAGCCCTACATGGGGTAGAGCTATCTAGCTCTGAAGATTTTTGCACAATGTACAATGTATCAGCACCTACATGTATCTGAATTCTAGCTATGGCATTGCAGTAGTTTTATGTTTGCGGTTCATGCGGTAAGAGTATTACACAGTGAACACATGCTCTGTCCTGCATTACGTTACTACGGATGTTTTAACTGTGACTTTAAATCACCACCAATGTCTCCTTTGGCTTTGCCAGCGATATCAAGCCCACGAAAATACATGAATCTACGGTATTTCGATGACTAGTGCAGAGGGAAGCTAGCAAAGGAAACATGAACATGTAGGCAAGTTTCTGAGGAAGTCACTCTGGCACCAGCCCAGCACCTCTGTGGCTGAGACTGAGATGACAGACTAGGGAAAACCCAGCGGTGACCGGAAAGGCAGCCAGGGGGTGGGAAAGGGTTTTTATTAGATATTAACACATCCGTGAAATGATTTAAATGCCTCAGAGCTGTCATAAATACGAGTGATATGGGACAGGTAACAAGCCTTGCAGCAGGAGAAATGTGAAATATAGATATCATGTATTTATGACGTGTGTCTGGCCAGAGGCAAGTAAATCAATCACTGGTTGACAGTATCTTTTAATTGAACCCTGCATGGTGCATACACTGTGGGGCTCACCGTATCAGCCTTTCTCTCTCTATATATATATCTATATTATGAATGTTTTATTATTATTGAGGAAGACTATAGGCTGAATTGTGTAATCAATAAGTTCATAGTAAGATCTACATGTAAGTACTGGTAAATAAGTAAGTATTGAAATTAAAATGATATAATGATATAAGGGTACCAAAATGATGCACATATAAATATTTAGAATTGCTGTAATTAATTTTCTCTAAAATCGTCAGGCAAATTAATCTTGGAAATACACAGCTAGATGAGGTACTCCAAGAGCCCTGGGCTGATTTTTAGGGCACCACCCAGAAAATAAAGGATTCATCTTGGGGCTTGTTTCTGCAGTTTTGAATACCCAAAGCATGAAATGGTGATTTAAATGTGCTAATGTGAAGCAGTATGTGTCAATATGACAATGATTGCCTTACTCAGAATATTTCCAGTTTTGCTGCCCTCAAATGACATTTTTAATATATAGACACATTCAATACTCAATAGAGGGATACCATCCTTGAAGCTGTCTTTCATCACAATGATCAGCATGTTTCCTAGCATTCAGTCAGGTGCATCAAGCTTGTCTACAAGACTCAACATTCCACACCGCATTTCTGTCAAATATTTTGAACTTGCGGGAATAACTTTAGACATCTGGTCTGTGTAACGTTTGAATTTTCAAATACACCTGCTTTGCAGGCACATGGCGGTGGCTGGTTTCTTTACACTGAACGATTTGACACACCAAAACATAAGTGAGATCAAACTCAAACTACCGGTATCTAACGAGTTAGTGGGAAGAACAAATCCTTTCAAAGTAATCAATTCCTGTGCATCTACAAAAAGAGCAGACTAGGAAAATGTTCAACAAATTCTGGACAACATTGAAGTGATTTGTCGCTGATTTCTGACAGATCTCTTCAATGCCGATAAATGTACGGCATTCCAAATATTTATTCTGAGCGGCCACCAAGTTGGAAAGAGACAATTACTATGACTGAACATTTCATCCCTCCTGACTGACCCCATACAAATGCCACGGTTATGGAAATAAACACGACATCAGAAGAACCACCAGATGTCAATACTCGCACCATGTCCCTCTGGAAGTTGGTACAAGGCCTAAGAAAAAAAATGTTGTGTTTCCTGTTTCAGTCCTGAAAAAATTAGGGCCCGTAGGTAGGGATTATCTTTTTTTTTTCCTTCATTTTTTAAAAAACTTTGGCTAGTGATCCAAGTTCATCCAGCTCATACAATACAGTTTAACAATGTAAAACTTGCATGAGGACACTTTTGTTTACAATATCAATGTAGGAAAACTGATTGTACAGTGTTTCATCTCTCAGGTGGCGTTCATCGAGGTAGGTTCATAATAATTCTAAAGCCCCGAAATTAAAATGGTGCAGGGTAAGCATTGGCTCAATAGCGCCTGGGCTCAGCGTTGTTGTCGGTGTCAAATCTACTCATCTGATGCGCCGACAACAAGTATTGATTCCAACAACGACATGCGCGGACAGACCTTTGGGATTACCCGGGGATGACTCATCGATTCACCTCCCGCTAGCCCCGATAGTATCTCCCCGACGATCTTTCACTATCCGCCAGTCTCGGCATTTGAGCCAGTCGTTGTTGCTTGAATATTTACCCATGTAACTATGGTCCTTTGTCGTTAATAATCATACTAAGGCCTAGGGAGATATATGTTGTGTTACCTGTTTCAGTCCTGAAAACAACTAGGGTTGGTAGGTACATGTAGGGATTATCTTTTTTTTTTTTTTTTTTTTTTTTTATTTAGACTTTGGCGATCTCTAGTGATCTATCTTATACAATACAGTATAACAGTGAAACTTGCATCAGGACACTTTCATTTTCAATGTCAATGTTGAAACACTGATTGTACAACGTTTTATCACTCAGGTGTCAGATCATGGAGCTAGAGAAGGTTGATCAGTTCGAAAAATTCAAGTACCTTGCTTTTTACACAAAAAAATGCTAGGGTCAGCAGTTTTTTCTAGGGTTGGTCGGGAAACAGGAAACACAACATTTTTTTTCCTAGGCCTAACAGGAAGTGGCCAGCTAACGCAGTCTATGGTCTTACATGCAGACTGGCAGCTTATAAAAACTCATATTCAAACATAATGGTGTCGGCGCTGCGGTATTAGTTTATTTCATGCCATTTCCATGGAAACCGGGAAAGACTGACGTCCGGGGAGGGTGATAATGAGGCAAGCAGGAGCAATCATACTCACGGTTAATATGGATATCTTTTATTCATGGATTAATACGAGTCTCGTCGACTGTTTTTTATTACCCACATCTTGTATTTAATGGTGGTAAGAGGAAGCCTTGGGTCTCCCCACTGGGTATGTATGGAATGTGACAGTGCTAATGAGGGGCAACTGCTTCCCAACCTGCCCACAACTGTGGAGTATAAATTACTTTGAATTCCCTTTCAAAGGTAACACGGTGTTAGAAATACTTATCTGCAGTCTGCATTTTGCAGAGATATTTTCTATATTGCAGAAGAAAAATTATGCAACCTGCAATTTTGCAGACTGAAAAAATCAGGCTAGGGGTTCAATGGTGTGTAAGAGCTTTTGTGTTTACAACCAACACGAAATTTTGTGATGCCATGGGTTTAGATTCATACTTTTAGGTGTGTACTTGCAGAAAGTATTTCCGAATTGCAGAACAAAATTTTGACATTCTGCAATATTGCAGATCACTGAAAAAGGTATTTCTAGCACTAATTCTCGTAGGAGGAGGTATCAGAATGACTACCGATTCTTTGTGTACAGTTTGTATCATTTTCATACGGTGCACGTGCACGAATAAATACCAAATCATTTGTTTTGTTCACAGTTGCAGCATCTTTCAGAGGAACCCTGCTTATCTTTTCGCAGCTTACTTCCGTCCGACGATGTCTTAAGGGAACCCATTTGTTCAGATTAATTTTGTGCCTGCGACATTATCAGACAGGGACTTATGACTGTCATACATCTGCAGATTAGTCACGGAAAACACCTCGGGCATCACTGTAACTCCTGATTTTTTCACGGTACTTTTATGTTCACTGTTTTCACTGTCACTTCTGTACCGTGAACTTGTCATTACTGTTAACATATAATTCCTGGACTTTCTTTTTCCTGCACCTGTCGCCAAGATGAATATATAGTTCCGTGAACATGT